CTATTTATTTAGACAGCTCAGGTGTGGTATTATCATAAGTCCTACTGTCTCACCAGAGGACGGAAGGTAGACAATAACCCTTTTTCTTAGACAGCTCAGGTGTGGTATTATCATAAGTCTTCCTATTTCACCAGAGATGGGTAGGTTGACCTTACTCCGTTCCATTCAGACAGATCAATATGCAGTTTAACAAAAAAAACAACCTTTTAAATAATTCATATCCGTATTTGTACTTTTAAACTTCACCAATGCCAAGGTCGGTGAGGGCGTATTTTTGCAAACTTTTCTTCTCAAAAGAAACTTCCACAGACTTCGCGAAAACATGAACCGCTTCACAAACTGTACCTCAGAGATACGGCTGTGCACTCGCTGAGAGTTAATTATCAGCAGATGGATTTTTATGGCGGTCTTACAGATAATGAAGAAATCCGACAATGCTTAATAATCTACTTTCCATTTTTAAATCGCATTGTAGTCGGCTAAATGTAATGTTCATTGATTGAGTGCCGATTGCTGCGGATTCCGTCTCTCCCTTACAACGATAATGAGGCGTAATTGTGATTTTTATGATCACGACATTTAGCTTTTCTCTGATTTTCAGTGTGCATTTATTGAGATAAAATAATTTGGCAAAATTAGATTCGAGATGATTGCGTGATTTCTGCAGAGTATGGAGCGCGGCACAATAACATTCGGCTCCTACAGATCAGTGGAGCGAGCTGAAATAGCCCGTGCAATTGGCAGTGCCTCTTGAAACCTTTAGATTGGCAATTTTTCTGCGTTCATTAAATTATCAATAACTGACTTGAAAATGCATGCATGATTCCCGACAGTTCGAAGAAAATTGTGTCCAGCCAAGTATTAAAATGTCAAATAAGACTTATCTGATGCAAACACATAGAGTTAGGCATGCATACCTCAATGCATGTGTGTCTAGGTGGCTCGATGTTAGTTGGACTATCCTCGAGGATACTATTTCTCCATTCTATTATGATATATACCCTGGACCCATTCGACACCAAAGCTTCGTTTAGGGAGTGACGTCACAATCTTTCTCAGCACTAACTGAGCACAGATTTTCTTTCGCCCATGAGGGTAATTTGATTGGACGGCTATTTTTGCGTCATTTTATTTGAATGAGCACAATACGAAACTTATGTAGCGAATGGGTCCAGGTTATTGACGTGAACTCGAAAAATGAGGACATTTCCAGTGGGCAGGTGGGTTTTAGTCATGCATATATTCAATATACCGTGATGCACATTAGAAAAGGGACCTAGGAGACAGACAGGGTCAAGGTCGCCACAGTGTGTGTACCGGGAGACCCCGTCATGTGAGATCCAGGCCTCATGAATGTCCGCACTAGGTGGTTCCCTATGTAACAGACATGGAGTGAGTGTGAAATATCTCGTTCCTTCAGTTCCAGCGGGGCAACGAGTCGACAAGGTTATCGGGTCGGGATTAATAATTCAACACCGAGTAAACAAGGCTGCTCAGTTGCTTGACTATGCTACAGTTATTATATGAAGGCTAAGTATATCGCCAGGCTCCTAAATGGAACCTATGCCAAATCATCATCATCAGCAGCAGCAGCAGCAGCAGCTTCAAGATCATGACGTTTGCCGTCTCCGTGGTGTAGAGGCTAGATGGCCTCCCCGGGGAGCGGAAGGTCGGTGGCTCGATCAACGGTCGCGTCATATTAAAAGACGTTAAAGATGGTACTTGTTGTTACCCTGCCTGGCATTATGGGAATAAATCAAGGACTGGCCACCTCGGAGTCAGTGCGATGTGGTATATAAGTTAAACAGCGGCATGGTCTCTCAGTAAGTTAATACTATAAAACCGGAATTAATCCGGACTAATACAAGCAGCCACACACACCTGTATGCACGTCGCTATATAAGTGATATAATCTTGAACGCGATGTAAACCCCCTTCACCTCACCTCATCAAGTCTATCATCATCATCATCACCATCAAAGAACAATCGCCATCCACTTTATTTCTTGGGTTGACTATCGAGGGAGTTTACCCTTGCAATACTCTGATAATTGCGATACTATTGCTATATAGGTATCGACGTTTGAAGCCTATAAATTGAAATCACACTATGGTTGTCAGTGTAAAGATGTAGTCAAGCGAACCAAATAAAATTATGCCTACATCCTTCGAGGTACAAAATAAGGATCCAAAAAATAGAAGAATTGACTTTCACTTTGTGTGAGTTCAGTGGAGCATGAACCGTCTAAGATTCAGGGTCAAACTGTATGAACGTCGGAACTTGCGACGACGTTCATACAATGTTTGACCATCAATCAACGAATGTGAAAATCAATTCTTCTATTTTTTAGATCCCTATTTTGTACCTCGAAGGATGTAGACATAATTTCATTTAGTTCGCTTGACTTCATCTTTACACTGACAACCATACAACAACCAGCTGTATCGCGGAAGAAAATAGTTCCTCAAAACGAGAGAAGAGCGCATGCATGCTCAAATTGTTCTACGGTGAAATATTTTGTAGTTTGGTGACAACAAACAGAATAATATATTATCATCATTAGAATGAGAAATGTGTGTTAAGAACTACCTCTAAGTCAGTGATTTTGACAGTGGGTCTCAATACACTTGCCACAAGAACAGGGCGTCAACACGATCAACGTGACGGGGGAGATTTCCGACGTTATCAATGACCCTGGAGCGATTAGCTGGTAATCATCATTGATCAACTAACCGATCATTCAGGGGTGATTTGTAGATGTGTCGAATGTGTGTCGTATATTCATAGATTGTTGTAGAATGTTGATGTCAGTCTAGACACGGACCGAGGCGATAGACTGGGTGCGCATTTCTTCATTTTGTTCATTAGGATGGGTCGTTGCGAGGATATTCTAACACGGGAATGCTGACAAAGTTGAAGATCAACGTGTCCAAGTAACAACCTTTATGTATCTGTTCGTGCTAAAGAATGCCCAGGGGTTTCCCCAGAATGTGGAAGTAGTCCGTCCGATTCGAGTCTCGTGAAAACGTTTGAACGTCACAATTTGTCTTTTTTACGCTTATGAACGTCACTTTCACGTCAATTGACCAGCCGCTCGCCCATTGGAAATGTCGTATATCGTGTAAACATCAAAATATATCAGAATATAACCAATATCAATAGACCTACTTTTCCGAACAACAAAACTTATAAATAAAAAACCCTTGACCTAATGTATGTCATTGTGGATATCATATATACTTATGACTGGTTTGACTTCCAATATAAACTCTTTTAATTCTTAATATCTTCAAGGCACCTTAATACAGAATCCATTTTCAATTAGTTTCGGGCAATGGTATATAAAAACATAATTAATTGTGGATATCACTTTCGTTCGAAAATCTAAGATCTAAGGGAATTTTCGAAAATAATCAAGTAAACGTCTTTTTCATGTTCTTAGTTGTGGGTAGTTATTAAGATAAATATCTCATTATCTGCAGGGCTATCATATTGTACTGTTTATTAAGTCCGTCTGAGACGCCGGAGGAAATATCAAAATCGCGGAAATGTCAATGTATGCAGAGCATTTTCATCTCCAGTATCACGTAGTCCTTGATATACCTGTTGATGTTGCGACATAATGTACACCTCTCGCATCTTTGGAGAGCATGGGCAGTTTAAGGTTTGTTCTAGAAGGATGAGCGGGGGAGGGAGGTGGCAGGGAGATACGTTAAAAATTGTCACTTCACTTAAAGTGACATGTTGATATTTTCTTCTAAACAGAAGGATGTCAATTAATATCAATTTCCATTTGGCATTAAAAGCTGGGGAATTGATATCGTAAGCGTTTCTTACTTTAATGCTAGAAATCGTTTTATCAAGGATAGTTGTCTTCATTGAAAAGGGTAAAGTTTCGTTCCCATGAAAATGGGTTTTTTCTATTTATTATTTATTTAATCAATTAAATCCTTCATATTCTTACATGTCGAACATCATTTAAGCCAAATAGATAACTAACTTGTTAAGGATGTGTTGCGATCTTTTAAAACGAATACGAGCAAAGAAACTGCCGGGGAAAAGAAAGAATACACCCATGTTTTATGGTGACTAAAACGGAAAGAAGCAAGAAATGGTTATTCGATGGTGACGTATTTGATACCTGTATCACTGGCGATATTACATGCATCCTATCGATAAGTATCTGACGTGAATTTTCAAGTGTATGCTTTCTTTTGCCCTTCAGTTTAGCATATCCGATAGCTTTTTTTTCAAACACGATGTAAACGTAACTAGACGTCGCTCTCATATATAATTGATTCGCTCATTTCCCAAGAATGTATAACTTGTCATTTATTCATTGGATCTATTAAAGCGACAACAACATTACAGTGAATGCGTGGACTTAAAGCCACTTTGAACAATATTTCAGTTATACCACGGCGTGTTAGTCTGACGTGAGGAGAAAGCCTGAAGTGACGCGAGTCGTATACGTTTATCGCTTTGGTTAAAATTACTGGAAGGGTATAAGTGAGGGAGTATGGTTTTACGCCGCTTTTATCAATATTCCAACAATATCACACCAGAAAACGCTCTTCACACTCTGTACACATGTGGGGAATCCAATCCGGGTCTTCGGCGTGACTAGCGAACGCTTAAACCACCAGACTACCCCGCCGCCCCGGAAAGGTATAACTTACCGAGGATCATATTAGGTGGAGAACAGAACATATACAACTTGAAAAGGCAGCAAATATCCATAATATTCACAATCGTTAGTGTTTTAATGCAATGGCTAGGAATAGCTACAGCCTCAGTCGCTAATTCATAGCAAAAAACGAGGTGTACAATATACAGGAATAAGACAACAGACGATTTATGGAAACCTGGATAAATCAATACTAAAGGAAACAACGATAAATATGTAGGTACCTACTGCGCTGAGATTTCAATGGATATTATACGAGGGTCTAATACTATCGTAAGTAAAACAGATCGGATCATGTATCATGGGACCCACCTGTGTGTGTTGGTCAACGTTGGTCAGTCGGTACACTGGACGGCACGATGTGAGAAAGTAAGTCCCCCGGCTGAATGATGACAGAATTCAGGCGTGTGACTCCGCTGTGTCCGGCAGAAGATAAACTGTCGATGAAAGCTTTGCATCAATCACTACTGTCAGCAGCCCAGAGAGAAGTACTGACGTACACAGTATCTGAGACACGTTCACCGTTTTCTGCCAATTCCAAATATGGTAGATGTAAATTGTGATTATTTCACAAGAAATCCTAATTGTCTTCTTATTCTGCCAGATAAAACAGTCTCGAAGCTAAACACACCATCAACCTGTCTGTACGACTTGACGAACTGTCTCGAAGCAGACGACAATGTTGAACAGGCGACACCTTGCGGAATGACCGTTTCCCGCGGTCCTCGCTGGCGATATGTTAGAACGGTTGAGCTGTATTTCTGATCGTCTGCGTCTGTTGCTCAAAGCGGCTTGATTCTTATCAGGCAGATTCTAAAACAATAGTCCGTCAATAATGCCATCACTTTCCAACAAAACAGTTATCAATAATTAACCAATACAGGAAAGAACTATTGTGATGCATCCACGCAAACTTTATAGAACAGCTATCTAAGTGCATGGCACGACTCTTGGGGCGATGATTAACGCTGCCTGCATGTATTGTTAAGAACATTAACTCGAATGATCGCAACCCTACCACATGGAATCATTCCGACCTATGAAATAATCAATAGCCGTTAATAAGACTTTTTACTCGACGTGAAAGAGAATGTTTGCTTTGCAAACAAATTAGAAAACGATATCTTAAGAAATGTGGTAAAGGACATCGATCAAGCGATAACGGAAAAAAATTCAACTTTCGCATCAAGTCTCCAGGAAATGCTTCGCAAACATGTTTTAACAACTCGATATTTTTCGGTGAAAGTTAGTGTCTTACTTTCAAAGATATTTCCGTCTCCGAATTGCCACCAATCGCTGTCTCAAGTCGTCTGTGTTCCCAAAGCCTTTCGTCAGCAATCGTTGTCCGAGACAATCCTCTCTTAATAGGGACGGATTCATTTCGGATCTGGCTAAATTTCCCTCGTGACGTGTGGGATCATAATGTAGTGATGTTTGATAAAATACTACTTATCAGCTCAGCGTGATGTCGATGAATCTTGAGTTACTATTTTCTTCAAGAAGTCTAACTGTTCGTTAGAGGTTGCTGGCTTTGTGATGCTCAACATGAACTACCAGTGAGTGTCTGGGGGTGTTTATGCTCTTTCAACTGTTCTTAGCTATACAACGGGGCAATGCTGGATCGGGATCAAATACGTGAACAGCCAAAACGGTAATTCGGCTTGAACTAACAAAACCTTAGTTGTTGGCACGGAACCTTTCTGCATAATCATCTCTACACATCCTCGTTTATCCAGCGCATTCCCGTGAAAATACGACACATCATAATACAATGGTGATATGATACGCGAGGATGTGTGCATTTTACAACGGTGTGAATTATACAACCGACAAGTCTGAAACACAAGCACCATGTCGAGTTTGAAATACCTTTACACGCCGTCGAGTTTGAAACACGTTAACACGCCTTCTTGACTGAAACACGTTAACACGACGTCTTTACTGATATACGTTAACACGCCGACTTGACTGAAACACGTTAACATGCCGACTTGACTGAAACACGTTAACATGCCGACTTGACTGAAACACGTTAACATGCCGACTTGACTGAAACACGTTAACACGCCGTCTTGACTGAAACACGTTAACACGCCGTCTTGACTGAAACACGTTACCACGCCGTCTTGACTGACACGTTAACACGCCGTCTTGACTGAAACATGTTAACACGTCGTCTTGACTGAAACACAGGGTTAATTGAACGGCGTGCTTCAGTCAAGACGGCGTGTTAACGTGCCTCAGAGGAAGTAATAGTCACACAGAGACACGTGCACACACACACGTGCACACACACAGAGGCGCGCGCACAGAGGCAACTGCACACACACACACAGACACCGACACAGACTGTAATGAGTCGTCGAATCTGGCGTTGTGGAATCCTTCTCCACTCATCCTGCAATGCATGGCTCAGCTGTTGAAGCGTCTGTGGTTGAGGCTGTCGGCGTCGTACACGTCTGTCTAGCAGATCCCACAAATGTTCAATGGGGTTTAGATCAGGCGATTTGGAGGGCCATGGCAGCACAGTAACATTGTTGTGGGCAAGATAGTCCATGGTAACACCTGCAGTATGCGGTCTTGCGTTTTCTTGCTGGAAAATCTCTCTTCTGACGTCAATGGCGGGAATAAGGTGACGTTGAAGGATTTCATCACGGTAGCGTACAGCAGTTAAATTTCCCTGCACGTGCACCAGATCTGTCCTACTATTCACGAATATGCCTGCCCACATCATGACACTTCCACCGCCGTATCGGTCGAATACAGTGTCGAGTGTAGCGTTCATTTCTCCGTCTGTAGACACGCATCCTACCATCATGGCGACACAGCATGAACCACGACTCATCACTGAACCATATCCTTCTCCAGTCCACATTTCTGCTCCATTGCAGACGTGCACGACGATGATGTTGCCGCAGAACGGGCGCTGTATATGGTCTCATTGGCCGTATCCCATGCTGTCTTAGACGATTTCTGATGGTTTGCGCTGAGACTCTACGAAGACCAGGAACATTGTTAGCTGTGTATGCTGCACTGATTGTCCGGTGGCGAAGATGCATCACCCGGATGAAGCGGTCCTGCGCCGCAGACCCTGGGTCTTCCACTTCTCGGTCGATCTCTTGTAGAGTTGTGGAGTCTGTAGCGCTGCCACAGACGAGAAATGGTATTCTGCCTCACGTTAAAGTGCCTGGCTACTGATGTCTGACTTTCTCCAGCTTCCAGACGTCCAATGGCTCTATTTCTACAGTCTGCATTCAGTCTTGGCATCATGAGAGTCACGTTTACAGAACATCGGAGAGTGATTCGCAGGAGGACTGCCAAATTTTTATACCCATCGGTATAAAGGTTAAGTAGCCGTATTTGCACGTGCAGCATGCTTACAGGTTTTTCTCCATGCAATTTCTCCCAGTTTGGTTTCAAGATGCTGTATTTTGGCGACAAGTCACCAAATGTTGTGTTCGGGTGCAATAAATTAGTGTAAGGTCAATATTCACAGTTAGCAATGACATTTATATTGAGTTCAAGCCTTCATCTTTAATAGCAGTCAAGTTTGAAAAACTGATTTCAGCTATGCGTTTCTTTTTTGGGCCAGTATACAAACAAATGTGTAACATATATACAGCAACTAACAAATGTCTTAAAATGTGTTAAATGCTTGCAGCAACTTATTTAAACATGTCATGTATTTGTGCAGGTGTTTACAGATACAAATCAAATGACATCTCGAATTGAAGAAACATTAGAGAAATATTAACTCAGCGTAAACATACGTTAACAGAAGGTCGTAAAATCCATCTTGCTTTGAAATAAATATCTCATTGTGGTTTCAATTTCCTGTGAACTTAAACTTGCAATCAGTTGAAACTATAGCGGTATATATGTACGCCATCTAGTGTCTCCAATATACAATGTCTACACAATACAAAACAGCCAGTCGACAGGGACCTATGACATTACCACGTCTTTCATGTGCTCTGTTATGGAGACAATGAGAGCGAGGGAATATTATTGGATCTCAATCTCCTTCAATATACTTGAAATATGATGATGGGCTTTTTGTACGATGTATTTGTATCCTACTTGCCTCCAGCTAAAAATACTTTATAAGATGTATTGTGATACAGCTGACGCTACTGTTACAGATTATCAGCTGAACCTGATGTACAAATATTATTCATACCAAATTAAACTACTCAGAAGCATACTTAGAATTAATTTAAATCAATCTCTTTTCTCCCGGCTGAGTATACAAACATATACTCTTCAAATAATGAAACGCAAAGCCAGATTTGTGTGAGGTAGGAAAGGACATTTTTACAAGGAACCGTACAAGATATTGAGCCAAAATGTTGTGGAGAGAACACTTGGTGATTGTAGTCATCTCAGTTATCGGTACATAGGAAAAGTCACAGATGAACGTCAGATGCCATCAATAACGCGTATGTCCCCCGTTGGAATCGATAGCGGCCTGACATCTCCTGCACATGCGAATCACATCATGGGAAATGGTAGCCCACTCGGCCTGCAACGCAAAAGCCAACTGCTGCAACGTCTTGGGTTGTGGTTGACGTCGGCGTAGCCGTCTATCCAATTCATCCTACAGGTGCTCTATCGGGTTCAAATCTGGAGGGCCAGGGCATGACATCAACGTTGTTGTGTGGACAGGCTCTTGTGATCCGTCTGTATGTGGTCGAGCGTTGTCTTGCTGGAATACACCGTTGCCATTGGCTGCAATTGAGAGGACGTGTGGTAAGAGAATTTCGTTGATGCATCGTTGAGCCGTAAGATTGACCTTGATATGGACCAAACCTGTCATGCCATGATGAGAGATAGCTGCCTACATCATAACGCTACCCCCACCAAACCTGTCCACTTCCTGTACGCATTTTCCGGCGTAACGTTCTCCTCGACGTCGGTAGACCCCCCGACGGAGGAGAAATCTTGATTCGTCGCTGAACAAGACATCTCTCCATCGCAGTTGAGGTCACACCCTGTGTTGACGACACCAATGCAGTCGTTGTTGACGATGTTGTCTACTCAATATGACGCGTCGAACAGGACGTCTTGCTCGTAGACCTGCTGCTCTTTAACGGTTTCGTACTGTCTGGTCGGAGATTCTGCGCATTCCGGGTATTTGGGATGCGGTTGAGGTGGCTGTGGTCGTTCTTTCACGTAGGTGACGCAGTCGGATGTAGCGATCTTGGGCGGGGGTGGTTACTCTTGGTCGTCCCGACCTTGGGAGATCACGTGTTGACCCATGCTGTTGAAACAGATCACATAGCCTTGTGGTGGTGCTGGGCGCGACATTGAAAACCCTGGCTACAGCTGATTGGGATTCCCCTGCTTACCTGCAAGCGGCCTATGACGTTGTTTCTTTGCACTTCTGTTAATCTCGGCATGTTGTTTAACCTTCACTGTTCGATTGACGCAAGATGCCAGGCAATCAAAAACCCTGCACTTTAATACCGTTCATAGTGCTGCTGCACGTGCAGTACGTGCAGCTCCATGGCCCTTTTGTCAATGCACTTTTTAATTGTACGTGTTTCCCGACTAATGATTTGCAAGTCCTGATCATTTTGATCCGGGAAATTTGTCACTGACACTATAACACATTGAACCTCTTTATTTTGCACAGCTTGGTCCGCTAATTTTGCTTTTATGACCAATAATATCCGTTTTAACGTTTCTTGTTTTTAAGAGTATATTTCAGGAATGAAGATGATAGAGTAAAAGGGAAGTGACCCTTTATGTTTCATTCAAATATTCTTTTCAGCCGACCGATATTTTGGGATCATAAATAAAGCAATTAATTTTTAAAATGTTATTTTCATGTTGACCACCGCACCAAGAAACTAAACAAATGATGACTGACTGGGTTCTGATATTTAAGGCCTACATTTTGCACGATGTGACAAGTTATATGCTCTGGCAGTAGGGATGAGCACCATACACGTCGTTTGGATGCAAGCGAGTGAGTTG